TCTAGAGGACTATTGGTATTTGGTGGGGATATGTTATTTTGGTTTTTCATGTTTGTGACGGTTTGAATGATAATGTCCCCCATAGGCTCCAAGTATTTGGACATTCTGTCCCCAGATGGTGATGCTGTTTTGGGAGGTTTTAGAAGGTGTGGCTATCCTGTAGGAAGCTTGTCACTGGGGGTGGGCTTAGAGAGTTCTTGAACCTTGCCAGATTGCCAGTCTCTCTCTTGCTTCTTGTGCCTGCCCAATGCTGTGAGAGCTTAGCTTCTACTCCTCCTCCAGCCACCTCTGCTACCATGCCTCCCTCCCAAGATGGACTGTAATTCCCCTAGAAATGTAAGCTCAAATAAATTCTTCCTTCAATAAGTTGCTCAGGTCAGTGTTTCTATCATAGCAACAGAAAAGTGACTAATACAGTAATTGCTACCAGAGAGTGGACAGTTGGCTATGAAGAACCTCACCATGTGGGGTTTTGGAAAAATGTGGAAGATTTTGGAAGTTTGGGCTAGAAAAGTGGTTGATTGCCGTAAGCAGAGCTTAATGAACTGTTCTAGTAAATGCCTGGAAGAAAGCAGTGCTGAGAACAATGTAGTTCCAGAAGGAAATAAGGACTTAAGCAGCACTTGGGATATTTTGGCTCTAGCTGGAGTCTGCCCTTGACCTAAAAGCTTGCCTGAGGCTAAGTTGAAAAGCAATGGACTAATTTCTCTGGTGGAAGAAATTTCAAGACAGCCTAATATTGAAATGGTGGCATGGATATCAATGGTGAATATTATGCAGATCTACAGTAAAAAAGAGCAAATGGCGCAGAAAGAAATACAGTTTGGATTGAAAAAGAGCACTAGGAAGATAAATGTTGGAGCTTTGGCATGTGCTGGAGAAGATCCCTTTGTTAAGGAAATTAAAGTGATTAAGGAGGGGCCTAGAGATTGGGACTTAAACAGTGGAGAGAGTGCTTCCAGGGCAAGACCACACCCAGTTAAGCCTCCAACTTGTGAAAGGAAAATGCTGCAGGGGCTATGGAAGAGAAAAGCTTCTAAAATGGATGAAGCAGGCTGGAGTCCACCCCAAACTTTCAGTCAAACTTGGCAATGTCCTTCACCTCAATCTGGCTTTAAAGGCATGAAAGATGGAAGAGTGAAGGGGTCTTCAATTCTTCCTCTGAGGTTTCAGAGAGCCTTGGAGGCCAGGCAAGGTGAAGCACAGGTATTCCTCCTTAGAGAAGGCCCTGATAGGCCATTGCATAAAGCCATGAAGGTGAAGCATGGTTGGCAATGGAGACCCCAAGAAGTTCGTGATGCCAGAGCTGTGAGGTAACTGCCAAGAAAACCTGCACACAGGGAGTGGTACCAACACAGGAGAGAGATGTGTGTTGCCAGCAACAAAGCTAGAGAGGCTGAGCCATCTAAGCCCTTTGGAATTAAAGTCCCAGAAGTTGGATGTGGAGCTACTGGATTTGATGTTTGCCCTGCTGGTTTTCGGTCTTGTTTTAGTCCGGTGTTTTCTTACTGTGCTTCCATTCCTCCCTTTTGGAACGGTAATGTGTATCTGTTTCCACTGTATGTTGGGAGTAATTTGTCTTTTGATTTTATAGAGGCTTGTAGTTAAGTTATTTACCTGCATCTCAGAAAAGACTGGACTGTGGACTTTTAAATAGCATTGAGACTGATAAAGACTATGGGGACTTTTAAAGTTGGACTAAATGCAATTTGCATTTTATATGGTCATGAGCCTATGGGGGCAAGGGGTGGAATGTGATGGTTTGAATGATAATGTCCCTGTCCTGAGTGGGGCAGTTACTTGACAGTAACTGTCCTGAGTGTGACATCCAGAGTGTGTCACTGCTTCTCGGGAGAGCTTAGGACAGGCGCATATGGAACAGAAGAGATTCTCCACACGACTGATTGGTTGCACTATGTATTTATCACACAGTTAAAGCATAACAATACACATCAACACAAACACTCA